CCTGCAAGAGATTGCCCTTTTCCACACTTTCCTGTTGACATATAAACTTGGTGATGGGCGAGGAGACAAGCCATGGGAGGCCACAACAAACAGTTCGGAGTTTAAAGTCATTAAAAGCTTTTCGTCGTTTCGTGTGTAACAGCCCCAGTGACTGGAAAACAGGTTCTGATCACACCATTGCCTTCGTGTAAGCCACCACCAACACGTCTGACTGGGTTATTTGCTCTGTGAGGCTCAGAGACAGGACGGTGCATGTCCAGGGGTTCCCTTGGACTCCTCCCCAGGTTGGTGAGCTGTGAGGTCTCTTTTCCTTCCCCTGACCTGCCCCCAGTGACCGGAAAAATGGTTCTGAGCACACCATTGCCTCCGTGTAAGCCACCAACAGGACTGACTGGGTTATTTGCTGCATGAGGCTCAGAAACAGGACAGAGCACGCCCAGGGCTTCCCTTGGATTCCTCGCCAGATTGGGGAGCTGTGAGGCCTTTGGTTGCCGGGAGCAAAAAGCGATAGCCTGAACGAATGACGTTGCCGTGACTCGGATTCGAACCGAGGTTGCTGCGGCCACAACGCAGAGTACTAACCACTATACGATCACGGCGAGCCACAGGCCAAGCGGCAAGTCCGCGTTTGCTCTAGTTATTTTGACGTCAATAGATTTCGATTATCAAGCGGATTTGTTCCCAGACAGCCACGGGGGGCTCCCGCTTTTCTTTCTTTTATGCCGGCTCTGCTTTTCCCTTCCTTCCTCCCAATCCTCATACGTGATGAGAACAATTCTCATCTCCTCCACTCCAGCCTGGGCCTCCCTGCACCAGACTCTCTCGGGGTATCTCTCTGTCCTCGTCCGCACCTCCTCTACTTCTTTCCCGCCTCTCCGTATTTCTGCTTTTCACCCTTCCTCTCTCTGGCCCTACCGACCGAAGCCGAGGTGAGCGAGAGGAGCGCAAGCAGCGCAAAGACGGGTGAAGGCGGTGCCAAGAACGGGAAGAGCCATCACTGGAGCCCACAGGGCGTTCTGCTTGCTTTCCTTGGGACCCACGCTGCTCAGGCCCAGGGAGTCGCGGACCCAGACGTTTCCAGGGATGCTAGGTCTGACGCCTGCGAGAGGCAGGACGCGGCGATGGCCGTTCCCCTGCGCTTCCGGCTTCGGAATCACTCAATGCACGGGTTTCAACCGTAGCCAGCAAGATGCGCCTCTCCTGTTTTCCGAGGCTTTGGAGCCTGCACAATTGTTCTACAAAAGGCGGTGGCTCCGCCTAACGTTGGATGGGCGCTTGCTGTGCATGGTAATATCAGAGCAAGAGTTGACTGTCCGTGTGTCGCAGTCGGGTGGTGTGCTTGCTTCCAAGTCTAGAGGTGGGTGGTTCGAGCCCGTTCTATGGAGCGTTTCTTGCATTTTAAAAATGCTTAAACCGCTGGTAACTTTCTTCTATCCAGCACATGCTCTCATGGAAAGGCACAGCGACAGAGCAAGACCAACTTTACCCTCCTCTCCTCCGTGTCTCGCGTGCGACATGAGGACATAAATCAAGGTCCGCTAGGATTCTGGAATCTCTCTCTCTCTCTCTCTCCCCCCCCCCCCCCCCCCCCCCCGTTTTGAGACGGAGTCTCGCTCTGTTGCAAGGCTGGAGTGCAGTGGCGCGATCTCGGCTCACTGCAAGCTTCGACTCTCTGGTTCAAGCAATTCTCCTGCCTCAGGCTCCCGAGTAGCTGGGATTATAGGCAGGCGCCACCACGCCCAGAGAAGTTTTGTATTTTCAGTAGAGACGGTTTCACCATGTTGGCCAGGGTGGTCTCCATCTCCTGACCTCGTGATCCGCCCCCCCCCCCCCCCCCCCCCCCCCGGCCTCCCAAAGTGCTGGGATTACCCACCGCACCTGGCGCGCTCTTCTCTCTCTCTCTCTTTAACTGTCATTCATTTAGCCCTTTCTATACGCTTTTGAGGTTAAATTGGTTCCGTGATTTTACAATAAACATATAATGCTCTAGACATTCTTGTACGGGCATTTTCAGCCACTGGTGTAAGAATTTCTACAGCATAGTGGTTCAATTACTATAGGAAGAGCAATTACTCTATCATAGTGTTCACACGGTTTTTATATGATTCCATTCTCTCTCCTCTGTTGGCTTATTAACTATAACTCTTTCTTTTGTTATTTTAGTAATTGCCTTAGGGCTTAGAGCAAACCTTTTTAACTGATCCCAGTCAACCTTCAAGTGATATTAAACTGCACCTTCTGGCCTTGACGCTACTGCTGACATGTACTTTACTTTTAGGTATGTTATAAACCCAACAACACAGTGTTATTGCTTTTGTTTAAATAGTCAAATTTTTACAAAAGAAATTTACAAAATAAAAAAATACCTAGTATAGTTACCCATTTCTGGTGTTCTTCATTTCCTCCTGTAGATCTGGATTTTCATCTGGTATGGGATTCCTTCTGCCTGGAGGACTGCTTTGATGTTTCTTGTAGTGTGGGCGGGCTGGTAGTGAATTTGTTCGGCTTTTGTACATCTCTAAATGTCCTTATTTCACTTCCACTTTTGGGAATTTATTTTTTCTGGCATAGTATTCTAGGCTAACTTCCCCTGCCCTCAGTACTTTAAAGATGTTGCTTCTCTGCTCGCCTGCATTGCTGCTCCTGGTAGAGTCCGGCAGAGCAGAAAGGAAGCTGACGCAATCCTCATCTTTGTTTCTGTGTATGTACAATGTCTTTTTCTTCTGGTCGGATTTGAGTAATGTTATTAAGATGTATCTAGGAGTGGTTTTCTTCATGTTTCTTGTGCTTTGGTTTCCTCAACTTTTTGAGTCACTGGATTTATAATTTTTGTTATGATTGGGAACTTTTCAGCTATTGTTTCTTCAGAAATTAGCCAGGCACAGTGGCTCACACCTTCAGGAGGCCAAATCGGGAAGTGTTGAGTGAGGCCTGAAATTCAAGACCAGCCTGGACAACGTACTGAGACCCCATTCCTAATAAAAATAACACAGAAAGAAAATAAATGTTTCCTTTCCTCCCTGCTCCTTCTCAGGGACTTCCATTACTCATAAATTAGGTCTCTTAAGTCTGCCCTACAGTTCACTAATAATCATTTCACTAAAAAAAATCTTTTGTCTGTGAGTTTCATTTTGCATATTTTCAATTATTCATGGTTCCATATTCCCTGATCATTTCTTCCTCAACGTCTAATCTGCTGTTAATCCCATCCAGCAAATTTCTCATCTCTGATACTGTGGTTTTGGTGTGATATTGGCTCACTGCAACCTCTGCCTCCCGTGTTCAAGTAGTCCTCCTGCTTCAGCCTCACAAGTAGCTGGGACTACAGCCACGTGCCACGACGCCCAGCTAACTTTTTGTATTTTGTAATTTGAGTAGAGATGGGGGTATCACCGTGTTAGCCAGGATCGTCTTCATCTCCTGACTTTGTGATCCACTGGACTCAAACTCCCAAAGTGATGGGATTACAGTTGTGAGCCACCACACCGGCTCCTTCCTTCCTTCCTTCCTTCCTTCCTTCCTTCCTTCCTTCCTTCCTTCCATGAGACAGGGTCCCACCCTGTAGCCCAAGCTGGAACTCAGTGGTGTAATCTTGGCTTACTGCAACCTCTGCCTCCCAGGCTCCAATGATCCTCCCACTGCAACCTCCTGAGTAGCTGGGACTACAGGCACACACCACCATGCCTGGATAATTATTTGAATTTTTTTGGTAGCGCTGAGGTTTCGTCATGTTGCCCAGTCTGGTCTGAAACTCCTGCACTCAAGGGATCAGCCCACCTCGGCCTCCCAAACTGCTGGGATTACAGGCACCTGTTTGTTTGTGGAGAGGAGCAGCGGGCAGATTTCAGGTAGGAGAGTAAATTGGGCATCTGTTACTCCAACATTGCCAGGAGCCAAAGGCATCTCTTTACGTATTTTTAGTTTGACTTCAACAGTAGGTGTGCCAATTTATCTTCCAATATATTTTTCCAACTCAGTGAGAGAGCCTTTTCCTTCGTGCTCTTGCCAGCACAGCAAAGTTTCCATACATCAGTCTGATGTACCAGTGAGGGGATGGTGCCCGCCTGACTTACCTAAGCAGAAGATGCAGCAGAAAGACATGGTGGACACTGACTGCCCAGAGATAGTCTCTGGCACATGCTCCACAGCAAAACCTCCAAGATGTTTAGAAAGTCTTCCAAAAATTGTAATTGTTTTCTCTGGTGATTTACCTAACTGAGTCCAGAGAAAACTGGCTGGAGGGACCCTGAACTGCTTCCTGTCAAGAGGCCAATCAAATAGGAGAAGAAAGAATGGCTCCTTTTAGACATTTGTTCCTCTTCTCTTTTCTTTGTGAATTGCATTCTGCTTTTGTTGAATGCAAACAATCTACGGACTGTTATCCCTCCTAGACAAGGGTGAATTGGCACACTAATAACTACCTCTGTGTTTTATTCCTTCTTTGACGGTGTTTGTTTTGTTTTGTTTTTCTGTAAAACTCATCTCACTGGAGACAAATCTCTAGAGCCATAGGGTCCTGCACCTGACCATGGTTCTTATGCAGGCCTGGATTCTTGGAGTTACTGGCTCCCTTTGCCTTGTTTATTTTGTTGACTCTCTTCAGCAAAACTGAACTCTGACTTTTACACCCTAAATCTGGCTCTTCGACATATAGGTCCTTTTGCTTCCTGACTCCTCCTTGACCCAGCCCAGCCTTTCCAACCTCTCCATCTGTGTCTGTCTGTCTGTCTCTCATACTCCAGGCTGGCCCTAGTATTACCCACTTTCTTCTCCTTCTCTTCAATGTTCAGGGTTTACCTTCCTCTCTACCTACAGAGTCCCACAGGCTGAGGGGGTGTCCCCTTACAGAGAGGGGAGCTCATTCCAGAAGGTGCCTCTAGACTTGGAATAAACCTTACAAAGAACACCCAGGTTTGAAAAGCTTTTTCTATCTTCCCATTACCCGAATTATTCAAAGGACTAAAAGTGGGAAGTCCAGTAGAATTCTTGATGTCGCTCAGAAACCTGCATTGGAACGCCTTCATTCACCAAGCATTGGGTGCTCACGAGGTGTGAAGCCTTGCTCTAGGTGAGTAGCTGCATGGTGAGCAAGTCCTGCCCAATGAGCCCACATCTGGAGGCATCAAGAAGGGAACGGGCAGTGGGAACACAACCGGCTGGTGTCCTCCCCACAAGCATTTTCCCATTCGGGCACAGGGAATGCAAGCGGTGAGCACGACAAATTAAGCATAGCAAAGGATGGGGAAGTGGCTGACTTCAGAGCAAGAGGCTATGGTGGTCACTTGTGGTGGGGCAGCTTCCCATAGGGGAAGTGCAGGAGGCAGTGTGGGCCAGGGAGAATGTCGTGGATCTGGCATTCCTGCATCTTGCTCCTACTCACACGGCCTGGTGTCAACTCGGAAACATGGCAACCACACAACTTCAGGCCTCTGTGTCACCACACCCTCAGGCATCTAGAACCTGTGCAATGGCACAAAGAAGTGAGGATGCACAATGCTCCTGGGGATGGGAGCATTTAATAACGGACAGGTGTCTGAGGCAGATGTTGTCAGACTTCCAGGCACCACTTGCCTCTTTGTGGAGCAATCAGGGCAGTCATTGGCAAAAAACTAAAGACTACTCGTCCTGTTCCATGCAGAGACGTAGTTAACCTTGTAACTGTTCTTTTCGGACCTTCATTCTTCCACATCCAGATATATGGGGGTCTTTGTTACCCATCTGCTTCAAGTTAGATGATGAAAATCCTGCCTGAAGGCTTAAGGGTTTGTTAGAAAAATAAATGCTGTTTACAAAAGGTGCATTTTAGGCAAAAGCTCAATTCTGGAGCTCCAGAATCTACCTATCCCAAGCCCAATACACACCTCCTTCCTCTCCCTCCCTCCTCGCCGCACCTGCCTTCGCTGATTCCTCAGGCTGCACATCTCTGAGAAGATGACGATCCCTAGCAGAAGAACAAGAGAACCTTGGACTCTTCTCTCCATGAAGCCGTAGACGCAAGCAGATAGCCCCATTCCGTGGCAGTGTGACTCTGAAGTCACTCAGGTTTCTGTGCCTCCATTTCCGCATTGTAAAATGGGCCCAATAGGAATGCATTTCAAAATGGGTTGTTCCAAGTTTAAATAAGACATGGCAGTAAAACATTGAGCCCAGGCCCGAATGCATAGTAAATACTCCAAGAGCATTAGCCATTATTACTATCATTATCATCGGTGGTCTCATCGCAGCTATTATCATTATCTACATCCACCTTTGAAATAATTGCATATCTTTTTATGATATGGAGGGATCGCAACCTATAACATTTCCAAACTGATGAACATTTATTATTACAAATATTGCTGCTGGGAACATATTTCTGCATTTTAATCATCACCGGTGTGTTTCTCTATCAAATCTTCGCACACAATTTGGGGATGTTGCAAAACACATTCCCTGACCGGGAATCGAACCCGGGCCGCAGCGGTGAAAGCGCCCAATCCTAGCCACTAGACCACCAGGGAAACCGACAAAAACGTCAATCTCCTTGTCTGAAGAAAAAAAGAGGAGGTAAATACTAACTTTTTAAGAGGAGGAAAGCCCAACTGAAAGCAGCTCTTTGTGACCCAAGCGGGCTGCAGGACTGCAGGGCTCCAAGCAGTCACTGCCCAGCTGCTCAACACCTCTCACCTCTGCCAGCCCGGCCACTGCCTTGGGCTGTATTGAGGCCAGGCCACAAGGAAACTGAATGGTAGTCCATTCTAGCCTAGCTGTAGCACGGGTGTGAGGCAGAGCCAAGCACTTGCTCTCTTTCTGAGCCTCAGTTTCCTTGCCACCAGAGTGCAGACTTGGCTCTCAGCGGGTGATGAGCCCAGTCCTTCTGGTTCCTGATCTCTGAACTGGCTCAAGGGGCTCCACCGATAAAGACATGTGTAGGGGTCCCCTTTCGCCCCCAACTAGTTCAATTCGTAGAGCATGAAACTGAATTGAGGGGTCTTTGGCTCGAGCTCCAGGTGCAGATTTAGGTTCGTTTTCTTTTGTTCCGCCACGCAATTCAACCGGTTCCAACTGTGCTCCGGGAGCGAGGAAGCCAAGTGGGCTTCACAGGAAAGAGCTCCTTGGTTTCAGAGACATTGTAGCTGTCACCTTGAAATGTTCAGAAAGAAGATTTCGGCGATAGATGAGAAGACTGGAAATTTCTGGATCTAAAGCTAACATGACGTCCACCTCATCCGGCGCCCTCGTCTCCGATCCAACTCACAGCGGGCAAACTGGGCCTGGTTCCTAGTGCTCAGCGGGGTTTCAGGTAGTAATGGAACTCCTCCCGTGCTGCTTCTGATCAAAGATGCAGCTAAGTTCCCCCATCCCACCCCTCAGCTCCACTCCCCTCCCTTGAAAAAAAAGAAAAAGAAAAAGAAAAAGTCATTATGAAAGCCACCTTTCGTGTGTGAGGCAAACCTGCTGACCCCACTCTAGCTAAACGACCCGAGCACCGCCCCTTGAGGACACATCCACGAAAATCTTAGGCGCCGCCTTGGGCAACTGCATATTGCTGCCTATGACGGCTGAAATTCAACTGCATCTAGACATTCCCGCGGCCCCAGGAAAGTGCTGGCAAAAGGCCCCGGGAAGCACCTGCGATCCCTCAGGTAAGAAGACTGCGGATCCCAATAGGCCCGGGCTGAGGGTTCCCCGCCTGCTCCCGAAATGAAGACCCTGGAGACCCATAGCCAGGCTACGGGATCCCGATTCTTTCCGCGGGGTATCCAGTTCCAGAACTAAGCGCCGGTGTGCGGGATTCGCCCCGCTGACACTCTCCGGCTCCCAGAAGCTGCAGCAGCCGGCGGGTTTTGAGCTTCCGAGTCCCGGGCGCACAGGAGTGTGGACGCCACCCCTCCAAGGCTGTAGACCCCGCCTCGGAGCCTTTTCCCTGGCGCCGGCAATCACGGCTCATTCTTTCACAGGGTATCGACCCTTCTGGTCCTCCCAGCAGCCGCAGGACCCTCCCTGCCCACCCTTCGCCCAAGCCGAGGGGCCTCATCCTTGCTCTTTCCTCGCGGGCCCGCCACTTAGGGTGTCAACAGAGGTAGGTCAAGGGAGAAACTTGGATTTCTACACACACCTGGCTACAATGAGATGGCGCCACTCCCCTTCCCCTGCAGAAGCAGACTCAGAAAAAGGTAGTTAAAACAGAAGGTTTCAATAAAATCGAGAGTCTGATAACATAATACCCAAAAGTCCAAGTTTCAATTGAAAATCATTCATCACACCAAGAACCAGGAAAATCTCATACTGAATGAAAATAGACAGCAAATACACACTGGCAATATGATGAGAGAGGTGTTGGGATTGTCTGACAAAGATTTTAAAGCAAGCAAGCCTGATGAAAATGCTTTAGTAATTATGAGCACATTTGAAATCAATGGACAAATAGAAAGCCTTAGCAATTAAATATAAGATTTAAAGGAGAACCAAATGGAAGTATTAGAAGTGGAAAATACAACAACCAAAATAAAAAGTCCGGCACATAGACTGAACAGCAGAATGGATGGTGCACAGCAAAGAAATCCATCCACTGCACATGAAAAAAAAAAAAAGACATTACACAATCTTAACAAGGAAAAACTAGACTGGGTGAGAAAGTGAACTGAACCTCAGGGACCTGTGAAACTACCTCAAAAGGTCTCACTTTCATGTTGTTACCTATGTCTGGAAGGGGAAGAGGAAGAGGACAAGGCTGAAAACATAAAGAAATAAATGGCTAAAAGCTTCTCAGAGTTGGCAAGAGACATAAACCTACAGGTTTGAGAAGCCGTGAGAATCCCAAATGGGATAAAACCCAAAGAGGTCCATGGCAAGACACGTGAAAAAATATAATGTCGGAAATGAAAGACAAAGAAAATATCTTGAAAGCAACAGAGAAAGGTGACACCTTACATAGAAAGGAAAAACAATTCCGGTGATGATTGATTTCTCATCAGAAACCATGGAGGCAGAAAGAAGTTGCCCAGTGCTTTTCAAGCCATGAAAGAAAACAATTGTCAGCCCAGACTCCTCTCTCCAGCAGAAACATCTTTCAGGGATTAAGGGGAAAATCAAAACAGTTTCAGATTGAGAAAAGCTAAGGGAATCTCTGACCAGCAGTTCTACCCTAAAAGAAAGGCTAAAGGGACTTCTCTAGACAGAAAGGGAATGATTAAAGAAGGAACCTTGGGACATCAGAAAGAAAATTAAAAAAAAAAAAAAAAAAGGTAAGCAAAATAGGACTTTCTTCTCTTGAGTTTTCTAAACTATGATTGATGGTTTCAGAAAAAATTGTAGCATCGTTCGATGTGGTTCTAACTCTCCTTAAAGAAAATGTTTGAAACAATTATAAACGGGGCGGGTAAAGAGACCTACAAGGGAGGTAACCCGTCTATCATTCACTGAAACTGATACAATGATACCAGTGTACTGTGTGGTCAGATGCAGATGCACAGACATATGAATATCTGTAAAAATCAAGAGGGCTATGCAAACAGATATACTCAAAAACACTATAGATAAGGCAAAACACCATTCTCAAAGATGTTCAAGTCACCACAGGAAGGTAAGGGAAAAAAAGCATATCCAGAAAACGACACCAGAGAGAACAAACACAAAAGGAAAAATATAATGGCAGACTTAAGGCCTACCATATCAATCATCATATTAAATATCAATGGCCTAAGTACACCAATTATAAGACACAGATTGGCGGAGTAGGTTAATGGACATGACCCAACTACATCCTGGCTACAAAGAGACTACCTTCAAATATGATGATACAGGCAAGTTGAAATCAAAAGGATAGGAAAAGATATATCATGCAAACTTTAGACAAAGGAAAGCAAGACTGGCTATATTAATGTCAGATATAGTATATTTCAGAACAAAGAAACTAATCAGAGACAGAGAGGGACATTAGATAATGAAGAAACAACCAATCCACCAACTCCTCCCCTGACAAAAGTCATAAATGTCTATGCAACAACTGAAAATACTGAACAGAGAACTAGACAAATCCACAAATATAGCTGTATG